ACTCTATTTTGTTTAATAAGAGGGCCGTATGCATCATGCTGATGCAGAGGCCGGGGTATCCCCCCTTTTCAGAAAAAAGGAGCCAGGGTAAAGTACGCGCTTGATGCAGTCGCCTCATACGCGACCAAGTTAAGTGTTTGTTTTCCCACCTGAACTCTCTCTAGATACCAGTCAAACGCCACCCAGAATTATTATTATTGTTATCCACTATCTTTACATCATTGAACATGGGATCTAGAGATAATCTCTGAACATTGACATTATTATTCCAGAAAAGAACTAAGCCTCCACTTCTACCATTGCTCGGGCAAACTAGTTTTGATCCATCTTCAATCTCTTACGCAGACATTCTGCCGGGTAACTATCAAGGTGCATCTCCGACAAGAACATCAGCTCAAGGTTGCAGCTTCGTTGGACATCCAACAAAGCACGAACTGCCGGTGCGTTCCCAAGGCCCCGGCGGTTCCAGGCTAGTATTTTCATTGCTTCCGGCCATCCTCCAGGCGGGAGGACGCCAATATCTCATTTGTTTGTTGGCCTTCCGAGCTGTCCACAGCCTCACCATCCAACCCTTATTTGTACTTCTTTCTGTTAGCATTTTTCTGGGGCGTGCTAGACGCCTCCGGGGTGATCCTCGGCAAAATATCTCCTTCAAGCTGATCCACAATCGCTGCCACCTTTGAAGTTCTGGACATATTGGGAATGATCGCCAACATGTTAGATCCCCCTGGCAAAGCTTGTTGTGTATCTGTTGCAGTTCTCCTATTCTGATCCTTGTCCTGTTTCCATCTCTATACCTCCTGGTTTATACAGCGCATTGTGGCGCCAGCTATGCATTGTACCCCTTCCAACAGCATCATGATGAGGATTTCCTCGACCACGACCTGGTCCAAAAGATGGATCTTCCCTGACATTCTCCCCTCTTCCTCGACCAGGGTTCCTCCTCGCTCCACGGCCTCTACCGTTACTTCTACCTCCATCAACCAGTAGGAAATCACCCCACTCCAACTTGGTTACATCATGCTCTCCAGTGCCACACTCATCATACCAGTGCCCCAAAAGACCACAGTTGCCACAGAAGTCTGGTAGCTTTTCATACTGGACTTGGTACCAATCTATCTCATTATTCTTTCTGATTGGAACAAATCTGATAAGTTTCTTCGTGACAGTAAGCTCCACTCTGACCCTTAAAAATTCACCAACAAAGCCAGCCGGTAGGGTTGTCTGGACCTCCAACACCCTACCCATCTTACGGCACATGCCCTTTATCGCTGCTGGAAACACGTAATTATCCGGGAGTTTCAAAATCCTAGCCCATACCACCAATTTGTCCAAGACCATCTATTCTGGTTTCTAGAATCCGTCGTATTCCTCTATCAGGACTCCTTGGTTCCTAAACAGCCAAGGCCCCTTGTTAATCGTAGTGTTCCAATCACCCAAGCAACGAAACTGTACCATAAAGAGATTCTCATCTATTCTGCGCCAACGGACCTCCCTCGCTGGGTTCCACGCCGATCTCATATCACCATAAAGAGCAGAGGGGCTGAATGCCTGAATCCCTTGTTGGTGTGCACCTTCGCTATCGCCAGCCACTTGGCTTTGATCTTCTCATCCTTAAATTCTTCTTCCCAGACAAACTGTTCCTTCTCATCCTCATGGAGTTCCAAGCGGCTCAGGAGATCTTCCATCGGTTCCTTGACCCTGCGTGTCCTCCTTCGTTCATCCTGCGTCGCCATGGCGACTACGAGCGCTAAACCCTAGCCTTGAAATGGGCCAGGATCAGAAGGTTGAAACCCACCCGCACACCTCCACGTATACTTCCCAAGTATCAAGACCGGGAAGTGGCGGAGATCGGATGGGGATTAGCGGCAGCGGACGGTAGGAATAGACTCTCGACGGCGGCGCCGCCAGAGGAGAACGAAACCCTAACGAGAGGGGAAACTTTTGTTTTGGGCACAGGCGTGGGCACCTCGCAGCAGTCCTTGGTGATGTGCACATCGCTGAATGCGAGAGCCACGAGGACCTGCCCCGCGCACTTTTTCGGCGTCTATGTCACAGACCTGTAGCAGTTGGCTTTGGGAGGTAGGGGGAAATCTACAGGGGGCTCCACATTGATGGCCGAAGCCACTATGAAAAGGAGGCAGAGCAAGAGGGACAAGAGCCAGCGGCTCGCCATTGTAGCAGACTGATAACTGAAGATGAGAATGGATGGATGTTGTTGTACCATAGTGTCATTGCTACTATTTATAGTGAGATCTAGTGTGTGTGTTTTGGGGTTCTTGTTCAATGGGTACTCAATTTATTCTCATTGATTACACGGCCTGGAGGATTTAATCACATGCCTCTTATTACATAGGCGTTATTGATATTATGCCTTCTTTTCTCTGTCTACTTGATTACATGCCATTTTTAGTTACTGAAACTATAATTTAATTTCCAGGAAAAATTTATGCCATGCATGCAAACATACCTTGTTTCCCTTGTGCCAATTTTTACTTATTGTGACCCTTCCTGCATATCTGGCTGGATGGAGCAAGCTGATTGATAGATTAGTGATACTCTGTTAGTCGGTCCCTTAGAGCATCTACAGCTGGACGTCTCAAACTATCCCTCATATGCCCGCGGAAGTGTTCGATCAGTGACAGGAATGAAGAGAGAAAGAAAAACATGACCCAATCGGACCCCTCATATCATCCCTATACGTTCGGGTTGTCCGCAAACCCTCATATCCATCTCAAATATGGGAAGGATATGAGGGCTTGCGGACGCGTCCGGGCGCGCTCGGGTATTCAGCCATTTAGGACGTGGCCCCACCATGGACCACCTTTTCTTTTTCTTTATTCATTCTTTTATTTCTATCACTCATCTCCACCAATCACGTGCAAGTGACCGGACATATGAGAAGGAAAATGCAGAGTGTGCCTGGGCGGACGGATAAATATGGGCTCAAAATGGACACACCCGATCACTAATCAAGCACGTCCGTGGGTGTTTAAAGGGTCATATTTGCTATGTCCAGTTGTAGATGCTCTTATCCCAACCGTACAACACGTGACTCGAACGACACTAACTAATTAGCGTTGTCCTTGCCGTAACTTTCCGACGTCGTATCCAATGAATCTGCCTATGTTCGTGCACCCCTGCATCCCGTCGCTAGCATCCATCTGATTCAAATCCTGCATATGTGAGCGACTTTAATTGTACTGTGTTAACTCTGCTCGCAGGATTTGGTCGGCGTGTGTCTTCAGTAGATCCACTTGAATTCAGTTTTCTTTCGTATGTGTTCATGTGTCTTCAGATTGGATTCTTCTGCTCAACATTTCTCTTCATCAACAGCGCTTGTCTTCATTGGATCCGCTTGGATCCAATCTTGTTCGTCAGTTTTCATGTATCTTCAGATTGGATCCTTCTTAACTAAATTTCTTATCATCGACGGCGGTTGTTTTTCTGGTGCGCTACGCAAAGACTAGACAATAGTCAAACAATATTAACAAGTTATTATTCAACTAAACAAAACTTGGAGAAGTCCTACCATTTGGTACTTATAGCTCTCAACAGTTCTATCTAGCAAATACGAAACCAAACAACTCAACTCCAAGCATAAAAAGTTTGAATTTTTTTTTGTAGGAAAGCTAGCTACTACAGATGTAGTACATATGAAAAGCATTACTTGCATCATACGAAGCATTGCATCAATACATATAGCTAGCTAGCAGTAATCACAGAAACAAAATAATAGTTCAGCTGCTTGGGCGGTAAGCCGAGTGCATTTTGTCAGAGGCTCGACTTAGTCGACAAAACATTTTTGGGTTAAAAAATATGCGTCGTGAGTTCCATTAAGCAGCACTTGCCTGTAAGGACCACCATCGCGGTTCTGTAAGCTAGGGCAAACACGGCCGTGTGACATGGCTTTTCACCGTGCGGGCCACGACAACACTCGTCATTTACCCCTATACGCTGAGTTTTAAAATAAGAGTCCTTTTTGAGTCATGTCATGGCGTAAATGGTGGTACACCGAGACACCACTATTAAAATGTGCGCCATTGCGTCGTCACATGGCTTAGATGGATATAAGCCGAGTGGCCGATGTAAAACTCTGGGCCTCTGTCATGTTTTCATGTAGTGTCTACCCTATGGCCTCTGTCATGGCAATGTATATATGCAGATCTTCACTAAGAAAACATCTCATCGGACGTGATTAGTATCAGTGACAGACCAGAACTATTGATCATGGATGCGGTCAGCACTTATATCTCGCTTATGAACAGGCTTATCAGAAAACAAATCTGCTGACCATCATTCTAGCGTGCTATTCGGTGTGATAATGTGGCACGCACGTCCGTTAATCCCGGTGAGATCATGCATGTTCTGCGTCTTACGCGGCCACGTCGTGGGCGGCACAAACATGCACCATCATATCATTCTCTGAGTTGTATGCTAGTAATGCTAGAGCTACAGGCTTTTTTTACATGGTTCGTTGTACAGGATGATGTGGAGCAAATAGATTGGGTTAGGATTGGCGGAAGGGGCCCACCCCCTGAAAATCAGGGGGGCGAGCGAATTAGCAAGAGGGAGTCTGTAACAGACGCGTAAAACCCCCATATGTGTAGGATTATTGGTTGTATGCTGAACAGATCTCCACACCAACCCTCCAACAGATGGTGGTTCCAACTTCCAGCTATACAGAAACTCTTACTGCATGCCTGGCTTCTCCAAATCTCCCTGTTTCATGGAGAGAAAGGATCTGTTGTTCGCCCTTATTTAAAAGTAGCAATAAACATGATCTGCATGACATGCAAGTCAACATTATCGAATGAAAATAAAATAAAAATACGTTATCGCATGAGTAAACCCAGTGACACACTAGCACACGAACATGGGTAGCACGTACGTTCCAGCTCATCACGTTGCTGAACATATGCCTATAAAATATCCCATCAGGAGATGCACTTCTTCCACGCACACCTCACCATACACACAGTCATCAATCAGTTCAGGCCATGTCGATCATGGAGCACCACGTCCGCCGATTACTCCTGGTGCTCCTGTTCGCCGCCGCGGCCATGGCGACTAGCGAAGTGGAGACGACGCCTCCGTTCCCGGACAAGATGGACCTCCCGCCACTCCCATCGCCGGCCGACATCCCGGTCACGCCGCCGTGCCTCAACAGCATATCCGTGTGCGCACTCGTCTACCAGGACCCCTCCAAGCTGGCACCGTGCTGCGTCGCCGTCAAGAAGCTCTTCGGCAGCGACCCGGAGTGCATCTGCAACGGGATCGCTGAGGCTCAGAAGGTCGCAAAGCAGTCCGGGCTCAACTACACCGTCGACGGCCAGGAGATGTTCCGCCGGTGCGAGATGCCTCTCACCAGCTGCGACCCCGCCGGCAAACCAGGTCTGAAACATGCATTCCTTTCTTCATTCAAATGGAACAAGTACTGTCAGGCTTGGCCAATATAGTCTCACAATAGCTATTTAGATTTATATCGAAGCTCTCTGGTTTGATGAAATTGCAGGATCACAAAGCATTGGAAATGGAGCCCCTACTAGGAGGTCCTTTGGTGTCTTCCAGATCCTACTTGTCTTCCCATTATTCTTCATGATGTAAACTTTGCTTATTTTTTGGACTTCGTTTCCCTCATTATTTTAAATATTTGTAATCTCATTTATTTTATATGTTTGACTCATGGTGCAATCAATAAAAATCGGCGAGTGTTTTTCTCTTTATTTCTAATCCTCTCTTTATGCTCTAATTATTCTTCTGCAAGCAAGAGGCATTTGTTCTTTCCCAGCAAAAAAAAAAGAAAAAAAGAAAAAGGAGGCATTTGTTCCTTGCATGTAAAAAATGGAGCATGGGTGTGTTCAAATAGATGAGATGTTTACTGGAGCGTTTTGCCATACCACAAGAAGAAATGTTGCACTGTACAAATGAAATATTGGGCATGGGATTTTGATTGATGCGATGATCGGATGGTCTATGTTTTAAATTTAACAAAGATCTAACGGGCCAAAACGTTGGCCGATCTGGGGCTCACCCCACCCAGCTGCCGGCTAGTTTTCCCCATCCAAATGCTTGTGTGAGGCTCTTTGGTACATATGTGTGTTTGCTTATTTCAGTGGGTGAACCTCTGGCTGATTAATGCACTGATATGGATTAGTTAGTGCTTTTCTACGGGGATACATATCCCGTTTTTTGGTCTACTTCTCCTCCGAGACGTGCCTTTATTAGTCGATGTGTGATTTTGGAGCATGGTCACACATAACACATAATCTGATAAATTTGGCCCTTCACCAAGATGCTGGAGAGCCTGGCCGACATCTGCATCCACGAGGAGGCGTTGGCGGTGATGAAAATGCTGATGGATGCGGACTTCGAGCAACTGCTCAAGGCTCACGTGAACTTTAAGTAAGCATGCATACATGCTGGCTGCGTAATTGCTAAACAGTAAAATAGAGCTACCTAGGAGGCATCTCAGCGTTTTGCCATCCCCAACCGTCCGATCAAAAAACTGACGGTTCTGACCAGTCAGCCATTCGATCACGCATTACTATTTTTAGAAGAATCACGCTTTACTAATTGGGCCTACGTAGCTGGGCAGCTGCTCCGCAAATCTACCTGGGCCAGCTCTGGTTCACCCTGCGACCCCATCGTTAGATTGGGAGCACATGACCAAGATTGGCATTCTGGAGATCAGCCCTTCCACGGCTACACACATTCCCTACCCGACAGTTGCGGCGGTTGTGCCTTGCGCTGGTTCTCCTTGCCCGACATCACTCTCACCGATTCCTGCCGGCCGCCGGCGCCCGCCACCACTCCCTCTCTTACTTCTGTTTCCTCCGTACGTGCTGACATCTGGCGCTCAGCTTACTCCGCCGCATGGCCCGCCCCACTCAGAAGCTCGATCCACACACCACATGTCCACATCCCTCGTGGCTTTCCTATCTCCATTAGTGACCTTCGGCAGCGTCGTCGAGACTCTCTCTGAAGAACATGAGCACGAGGAGGCAGACCCGTCACCGCAGCCGGGGCGGCGTCTCATTCTTGAGGCTGGAGGACTCCCGCTCCCACAACTGCACGCGACTGCACCAGGTACGCGCCAGTGCAAAGAGGTGGACACGCGACGGGTGCAAAGTCTCGGAGACAAGGTTGTGGCGCAGGAGCCCGTCCGGAGCGCAAGATGGTGTTGGTGATCTTGCCGAGAAGGCCGCATTTGACCTATGGGTGGATGGCCAGAGCGGTGCAGCGCTCCACCAGGGCCTCATGGGGAGCCTAGCAACAGCGACACGATGAGTCTGACGCGCGATGAAGCGCCAAAGGAGGGGCTCCGCATCGACCAAGGACCAGAAGTTCCGCAGCAATAGCAGACTGCCGAGCGGGTTTGGCAGGGCGCCTGTCATTGTTGGTCTTTGCCCGGCCATGCTGCACGAAAAGGTGGATGAGTACGGTGCTGAGGAGCAGGAGCTCTGTCTTTCAGTTCTTCCATGGCTATTTTTTTCAGTTCGTCCATGATGATTTCTTTGTTTTTTTGTGCTTTGTCTCTTCAGTTTATCTTAGCTCTACAATGTCTCAAACTTTTCAGTAGCTAATCTCTTAATCCAATTTCTAGGTTCTCAAAGCAAGTTTCATCCAAACACTCAAACCAGTCTTTTGTTACAGTTGGAGAAACATGACAAATCTGGTTCCCGAAAATAATGAACATGGCTTACAATTTTGTATGTGATGGACATGCCCCCTTTGTTTTCCATTCAAGATCTACACCAGTAACTTCCATGTCTTTTATGCTATGTTTATATTTTTCTTAGGAAAAATTTCTGTTGTTGATCCTAAGTAATATATTCTCATGGGCGGAGCCACATTATAGCATGTACACCCATTAATTTTGACTCTCACTCTGAGAAGACATAGATGCAGGCTTAGTGAGAGTATTTAGCATATATTAGCTCAGTTTAATTAACTAGGACAATACAGATCTTGAACTTTGTACACCCATTCCTGCCATGTTACTGATCGTTTGTATCTTTAGTTCTTAACAGTAGCGTATGACATGACAACAACGAGCTGTTTATAGCAAATAGCATTGGTGTGGTGTGATCCCTCCAAACCTGCATTTGTAAAACCTTTGTCTCTTGGACCTAAATGAAGAGATTCTTATTGGATCTGCGTCACTCATTTATGCAATGTCAAGAGCATATTGATATTCTTCAGATTCCGTATTTTTTTTCTTCAACATGGACGGGCGCAGCAACGCACGCCTATATGTTCTAGTGCTTTAGATAGGTTGTGCTCCATCGCGAATTCTCGATCAAGTCCATGTTTTTTTTCATGTCCGTCTATTTGTTTAATCATCTGATCTGGTTGGATAATATATGATCTTTCAGCATGAAATCTCAACCTCTCAAGTAATTTAATTAGTCAATTATATTCACCAAATGTTAAACTTCTGTGTCAATTAAGTTTAACATCCTTCAATGCAAAAATAATAATAATAATAATAATAATAATAATAATAATAATAATAATATATAGACACACACACACACATATATAGCCTCACCTACTTTATGAACTACTGATCGTACTACCTCCGTCCGAATTTAGTAGGCTCTCACATATTTTGGCTTAAATTTTAACCGTCCATAACTAATAGCATACGGTTTATATGAAAGAGAATTCACACCATATAACTTTTGTAGAATTTCTTAATATTTTATCAGTTAACTTATAGTCAAAATTTAACATTAAATACAACGGGGTCTAATAAACCCAGAGGGAGGCAGTACTGCTTAAACCAATTCTATTTTTGGCCAGAATGCTTACTCTGAAAAAGATAGATGGAGAATCACATTATCCACGTAAGTTGTGCTCTCAAGTGGCAAAGAAAGTAAAGGTGGTGCTGCATCATTGCGATCTCCATATGGTTCGTGTGTACGTGACAGTGAAGAACACAAGTGGTCGAGCCTGCAAGCAGTCCAACCAAATAATGTACTTGGATGCAATGGCCAGACACAAAGGATGGATAACATTAACAACAGATCGGATTGCTATGGTGCGCAAAATGGGAATGATATAATCGATGCTATGTTTCTGCCAATCAATTCTAATTAATTGGTGTTCAATCAAATGAAACACTATTTTTCTAACCAATGCTAATTAATTTGTTGTTCAATCAAATCAAACAATATATAGTGGGCACAAGCTCAAACTCAAAGCTATATACATATATGCACAAATTTAGCTGTGTAAACGCATGACCCATGTTCTCCATGGCTGGTGGATTGTTTTTGAACATGAACCTTAGATTCTTCTTATTTCAAAAGGCGAATCTTGTTTAAAAAATATGAAGTAGATGTAACTTTTATTCTGTGGATAAAGAAAACACATCCATACACCAGTAGAAAACAGGGCTTTCATCACAGCCGGATCGAAGCATTAATCCTGGTTGCATTACGAACCGGGACTAATGTGAGCATTAGTCCCGGTTCGAGCGGCCCAGGCATCAGTCACGGTTCGAACGGGACCTTTAGTCCCGCTTGGTGACACCAACCGGGACTAAAGGGTTTGCGACCCGCTTCGAACGGTGCCAGCCCCTTTAGTCTTGGTTGGTATCAGATCTAAAAATTTATCTAGTTTCTGTTTGAGCCATTAGTTTTCAAATTTGAATGATTTAAAAATGAATTTGTTCAAATTTGCTTCAAACCTTAGATTGTGAATAATTTGAGTTTAAAAATAGTTTTTAATCTAATTCTTTTTGCTCCAAGTCACATGTCCGATTCCTGTCATAGTAAGATTTATTCGGTTATTTTTAGAACAATTTAAATTAGGATTTTATTTAAAACAGTATTGCTTTGCTTATATAGTTGTTTTAGTCCTTTGAAGCTCTAGCTTGGTTGGTTAGAAACCAAATTAATTCAGTTAGTACCAAACAAACCAAATATTCGAATATGACCAAACTGACTAGATCATTTATATAATTTTCTCAGAATGCTAGCTCATCCACATGTGGCATCTCCCCTAGGCCTACACACGTCAGACCAGCAGACTTCTAAGAAATGGTGGATGACAAACATGAAAGCTTGGTGCCACGTGTTAGTGTCAACTACATAATTAGTGCATGCAAGCGTTGTGATTGCTTCTAGAGTGTGGCACTACGTGAAGGATGGGTGTCACGTACTAGTGTGTTGACTACTACAGAATTAGTGCATATAAGTGTCGTGCTTTCTTCTAGAGTGCTAACTACCTCATGAGTGTTGCTGGTGCTACTTTTTGGTAGAAAATTTCTCACGTTGGTGATCCCGTATGTGCGCCTTTTGGCGATGGAACCATGAGCAGGTGCAAGTTACGGGACCATGCAAAATAGTTCACATGTGTTATTAAAATCAACCTTTCTTAAAGTTACATGTTTGTTTGCCCATAAAAATCTTGACTACATGGTCATCACTTCAAAAAATAGCACACTCAATAAATATAACAAGATGAATGTTTAACACTCATCAGCCATACAATTATTGAAATGCCCAGACGGCACGTCGCCCGTCCGGTGCCCTGCTCCTCCAAAGGTGCGTGTTTTTGGTTGGCATGTGGCTACGAATGCTCTCGCAACTTGGGCA